CAGACGTGATTTCTGTCCCGGGGATAGCACTGTGTGCCAGTCTTCAAATTTAGAACACATTATACTGAACAAAAATATAAAACACAACATGTAAAGTGTTGGTCCTATGTTTCATGAGCTGAAATAAAAGATACCAGAAATGTTCATATGCACAAAAAGCTTATTTCTCTAAAATGTTGTGCACAACATTTGTTTACATTCCTGTTAGTGAGCATTTCTACTTTGCCAAGATAATCCATCCACCTGACATGTGTGGCATATCAAGAAGCTGATTAAACAGCATGATCATTACACAGATGCACCTTGTGCTGGGGACAATAAAAGGCCACTCTAAAATGTGAAGTTTGTCACACAACACACGCCAGCCCAGGACCTCCACATCCGGCTTCTTCACCTGCAGGATCATCTGAGACCAGCCACCCGGACAGCTGATGAAACTGTGGGTTTGCGCAACCGAAGAATGTCTGCACAAACTGTCAAAAACTGTCTCGGTTTTCAACTGTACCGGGCAGATTGCAGACAGGTATATGGTGTCGTGTGGGTGAGTGGTTTGCTGATGTCAACCTTGTGAACAGAGTGCCCCATGGTGGCGGCAGGGTTATGGTACAGGCCACAATCAACAGCCTGATCAACTCTACACGAAGGAGATGTGTTGCGCCGCATGAGGCAAATTATGGTTTTCTGATCCACGCCCCTACCTTTTTTTAAGCTATCTCCGACCAACAGATGCATATCTGTATTCCCAGTCATGTGAAATCTATAGATTAGGGCCTAATGAATTTATTTCAACTGACTGATTTCCTTGTATGAACTGTAACTCAGTAAAATCTTTGAAATTGTTGCATGTTGCTTTTATATTTTTGTTCAGTGTAGTTGAATTAAGTGTTTGTGTAGAGCTGGAACAAAAACCTGTAAACTCCTGTCCTGTCTATGAAAAGAAATAACAACTTTGGCTGTCATTACTAAATTTGCCATCATGTACTGAACAAGCTTATGAATGTTGGAGGTTCATCTCCTGGATATCCCTCACTTGGGAATTACTTATTCGACAGTGGACTGTGTTTTAAAGACTCTTGCACAGATACAGGAATACCAGTAAAAATGTTAACATTTATTCAAAGTGTTGATATCTACACGTTTCTAGTTTAGAGGTTTGGGCATCTGGTGACTGCAGATAATCTGTCTAATCCCCTGCAAGGAGAGAGAAAGGCAGCAATAATATTACTATGCTGTATTCATTCCATTGAACATATATTCCTGTATGATATGCATTTATATTGGATATGTTATCCTGTTATCACATGGCAGTATTTGTTTTGTATCCAATGCATTTATCTTACATTAGGATGAAGTAGTCTAGGCCTTCTAATCTAGTTAGATTGCATCATATCACCTTTCAATATTAGTTATCGACGAATATAAAAGCATGTTATCTTGAACATCTGTGTCATTTAATACGCAAGCTTACTCATTCGAAAAAAGTATTATCAGCTCTAATGCAATATTAGCTTCACAGTGAAACCCCACTATTCTGGCTATTGATCATTCTTAGACAGTCAGTAAAATAGCTTATTTAGCTATCTCAAAAAATCATAGTCTGTACAGTCGTGGTCAAAAGTTTTGAGAATGACACAAGTATTGGTTTTCACAAAGTTCGCTGCTTCAGTGTTATGAGATATTTTTGTCAGATGTTACTATTGTATACTATTGTACACTTTCTCTGAAGATTCTCAAGAAGATCTAAAATCTGGATAATCCAAGATTAAGATGGATTTGGACATTTTAGTTGATTATCTCACTTTGACCAACCCTTCCTTAAATCAAATAACATTTTATTTTCACGTGCTTTGTAAACAACAGGTGTAGACTAACAGTGAAATGCTTACTTACGGGCCCTTCCCAACAATGCAGAGTGATAAAACATTTATACAAAAATAGAAAGATAATAACACTAGGAATAAGTACACAATGAGTAATCATAACTTGGCTATATACACGGGGTACCAGTACCGAGTCGATGTGCGAAGTATAATTACAAGCATTCCATAAGTGTCAAAGGCTTTTATTGACAATTATATTACGTTTATGCAAAGAGTCAATATTTGTAGTGTTGACCCTTCTTTTTCAAGACCTCTGCAATCCGCCCTGGAATGCTGTTAATTAACTTCTGGGCCACATCCTGACTGATGGCAGCCCATTCTTGCATAATCAATGCTTGGAGTTTGTCCGAATTTATGGGTTTTTGTTTGTCCACCCGCCTCTTGAGGATCGACCACAAGTTCTCAATGGGATTAAGGTCTGGGGAGTTTCCTGGCCATGGCCCCAAAATGTCGATGTTTTATTCCCAGAGCCACTTAGTTATCACTTTTTCCTTATGGCAAGGTGCTCCATCATGCTGGAAAAGGCATTGGTCATCACCAAACTGTTCTTGGATGGTTGGGAGAAGTTGCTCTCGGAGGATGTGTTGGTACCATTCTTTATTCATGTCTGTGTTCTTAGGCAAAATTGTGAGTGAGCCCACTCCCTTGGCTGAGAAGCAACCCCACACATGAATGGTCTCAGGATGCTTTACTGCTGGCATGACACAGGACTGATGGTAGCGCTCACCTTGTCTTCTCCGGACAAGGTGTTTTCCGGATGCCCCAAACAATCGGAAAGGGGATTCATCAGAGAAAATGACTTTACCCCAGTCCTCAGCAGTCCAATCCCTGTACCTTTTGCAGAATATCAGTCTGTCCCTGATGATTTTCCTGGAGAGTGGCTTCTTTGCTGCCCTTCTTGACACCAGGCCATCCTCCAAAAGTATTTGCCTCACTGTGCGTGCAGATGCACTTACACCTGCCTGCTGCCATTCCTGAGCAAGCTCTGCACTGGTGTTGCCCCGATCCCGCAGCTGAATCAACTTTAGGAGACGGTCCTGGCGCTTGCTGTACTTTCTTGGGCACCCTGACGCCTTCTTCACAACAATTGAACCTCTCTCCTTGAAGTTCTTGATGATCCGATAAATGGTTGATTTAGGTGCAATCTTACTAGCAGCAATATCCTTGCCTGTGAAGCCCTTTTTGTGCAAAGCAATGATGACGGCACGTGTTTCCTTGCAGGTAACCATGGTTAACAGAGGAAGAACAATGATTTCAAGCACCACCCTCCTTTTAAAGCTTCCAGTCTGTTATTCTAACTCAATCAGACATGACAGAGTGATCTCCAGCCTTGTCCTCGTCAACACTCTCACCTGTGTTAACGAGAGAATCACTGACATGATGGCAGCTTTGTGGCAGGGCTGAAATGCAGTGGAAATGTTTTTTTGGGGATTAAGTTCATGTTCATGTCAAAGAGGGACTTTGCAATTAATTGCAATTCATCTGATCACTCTTCATGACATTCTGGAGTATATAAAACTGAGGCAGCAGAATTTGTGAAAATTTTTATTTGTGTCATTCTCAAAACTTTTGACCACGACTAAGATATCATGCATGCAAGCTTACCGGTCACATCCACAACGATGGAGCAGCAGACCAAGCAATATGCGAGATGAAGACCCTATACTGTAGGATAATTATTCTGGTTGGTGTCAATTTCATTCATTAACTGGTACTGAGGAGATCAATTATGTTACTTGTTTACTTGTTATTCGTGTCAGATATTTCCATTTTGGGATAGGTCACTGAATTGCTAGCACTAGTTGCTCACGCTGCTACAGTGGCTACAATGTGGCTACAAACGTCTCACACTCGGTGGAATGTGAATGTGTTATCACATGATGCTGCCTTTGAATTCATTCCCAAATGGCAGAAAGCTACTGGAAAAGTGCTACCTACTAAGGTAGGTGCCTTTGGAGGTAGGTAGGCAGCTGCCTTTCGATTGGTTAAATAATAAAAGTAGGCTACACCAACATTAGTTTCCATTCATACAAAGTGTCAAAACGATTGCCCAGCAATGGGCGCGAACTCCTGATGCTCGGAGCCAAAGCGTGCTGATCAGACCACTGCGTTACGGCAGTTCACAATGCTCTAGCAAGCCGTAAACATACTTGATGCTACTTGATGGTGTGAGGTTCATTGGTTTGCAGAGCCTTCCCCAAACCATAGCCCCCTAGGTATGGTACTGCAGTGCATTGTATAGCCTACAAACACTGCTTCCAGCTGCCCACTGGCGGCAATTCTAAATATTCAATATTTTTTCAAATTCTCCTGCTTTAGGATTATTTTCCTCCTGTGACGAAATGGGTCATATTAAGATCCGACATCTGTATGTATGCACTCACGCAGCCAAGCTGGGAAAATGTTTTCAAGACTTTTAGCATTGGCAACACAGGCAGGGGGAGAGTGAGAGAGAGAGAGAGAGAGAGAGAGAGAGAGAGAGAGAGAGAGAGAGAGAGAGAGAGAGAGAGAGAGAGAGAGAGAGAGAGAGAGAGCAACACTGCTGAAAGAACACCAGTCCATCTCTAGATTTTATTGTGAGGAGCAGCAGAGACGGGTAGAAAGATGGGTCTTCTAGTCATATCTCTGAATGTGTCCCCGATGTGCTCATGTTAATTTAGCTAATTAGCTTTGAGTGATTTAAAACCGCACATTTTCTGCCTCTTTTCTCCAACCGCAGACAGAGTGAAACAAATAGACTGATGGGCCATTTAATATTCACCAGACTGGCCATCAATCCAGTGGTTTGTTTTACAGCCGGCCTGGGATGCCTAGGCTCTGGCAGCAGCCATTGTAACCTTGCAGGGGATGATGATTCGATTACGATGCTTTATGACTGCAAATTGGATGTAATCTAATTGTCTGTTTCCAAGCAATAAAAATCGCATCAATAAAGACAGAGAGAGAGTGGATGATGAAGTGGGAAGGCTGCTGGCAGGAAACCAAAGGGGGAGAGAGAGGAGAGAGAGAGAAAGCAAGAAAGCGGAGACAGAGGAGAGGCAGACAGTTAAGAGACCGACCGAGAAACAAACGGATGATATTCCCAAGGGAAGTGAAGCAAGACTAGAAGTGCATAGTATGTCATACCTCGCAGCTCTGCCACCTGTTGGGGATGTTGGCCCGTAGTTTCTGGTCACACACCACCCTCCTCATCTCCTCCACCGAGGGGTCTGACTGGACCAGGTCATAGTAGGGCAGCTGGTAGTCCTCGTGGATACCTAGGGAGCAACAGACACGGGATTAGATTAGACACACGCTTACACAGAATACAGGCCAATGGCAATCTAGGAACAAATTCTGACAAAGTGTTGAAAATATCGGAGAATGGCAGATATGATGACTCCAAGCCTTAGAGGGACAGACTAAACTAGAGACAGAGTGAGTCCCACATTAGATCCCAAACGTTGGGCCTTGTGTCAGTGGCAGGCTGAACTGTGTAACAGACATGATGCTTTCAGAAATTAGCCGAGGTCCTTGGGGCCAAAACGACTCACTGTGTGATAAGAGCTAAAAGGAGCATTGTGTTATCTCACCTCCTATTGAGCATCTCCGTGCGATCTCCCAGAACACCAGGCCCATGGCGTAGATGTCTGCACGTTTGAACGACTCAAAATGCTTCATATTAATGGAGTCATCCAGGACTTCAGGTGCCATGTACCTGAGGAGACATTCACCAGACAGTTCTCTTTATCCTTTCAGACACAGGGCGACAACATGATCTCTTTATTCACTCTTCATTCTCAAAGAGTATCCTGAGTGACCAGGGTGAACAAATGCCCTCCTAGTTTCGAGGTACTATTCTGTAAAATATTAAATGTTCTATGCTGCTTTAAAATATGAATGTTCTAAAGATGAATATTCTACGCTGACCTTTTCTGATCCAAAGCTCCAATGACGGTCTAAAATGCTGACTTAAACATCCCTGTACAGTCTCAGTCTATTGTCCAATCCTTCACTAGGTGATGATCTGATCGAGGCGAGCCTTGCAGTGTAGTCAGGAGAGTGGCAGCGCAAAGGGCAGGAGAGAGAGCGAGAGAGAGAGAGAAGGGCTGTAGTAGGTTAGTCACATGAATGGTCAAAGCCAGGCAACACTCAGGACTTACATTAACCCCATCACACTGTCACTGACTGCAGTGCAGCGGTGCGTGGTGGGAGGCCCGAGTGTGTGTGCGCATGAGTGTGTGTGAGTAAGTGTGCATGTATGTGTGCCTGAGTTGAAGGGAAGGTTGGCAGCAGACGCACAGAGCGACATAATCAGTGAAGGGGATTGGCTGTGATATGCTCCTGCCCAATGCTTGCTAGTGTCTGCTGAGACCACTGCTCTACACGCCCCGCGATGCAACACATCAGGATCAACATTCCTCCCTCACAGTCCCATCCATCCCTCTGTATAGCCTTAGCTTGATGCAGGTATACATTGTTTTAAACAACCATTTTTACACCCTCATCAATTATTTCACACATCAAATCTCACATCCTTGCTCATTCCTTTTAGCACTGGAAACTACACTGGAGTGGACACATTGTCCTCTTAATTATAAGACAGAAATAATGTACATTTGTGAGAAATGGCATTAGTGTAGCAAATACAAGTAATGCAGGCAATACTTTAAAAGACATGCTCCGGAACTTTGGCGACTACTAAGTATTTTTAAACCTCCCGCTTTGGGCTGTCAATGTGTAGTTCATTCAGGCATAATCTTTGAGCAGAATTACTGTCTTACCTCAATTAGAAAATCCCTAGTTTGAAAGCGACTTTTCTGGAAGCTGTGCCATTTCCCCTAGATTTCCCCTCCACGTGGGCCAGCCCCCTAGCGATTCGAGTTCTAGCCAATGAGCTTTAGCTCCTTATCATTTGAGTGACAGCTAGCAAGATGCACACAGCAGAGCGAGAGCAATGATGTGGTGCACATATCTGCACATATGTGACATAGTACACCATTTCTGGGGTCCACTTTTGGCTCATGAGCTCTACTTTCAGAACTACTGGCTAAAAAGTATACAAAAGTACCGGAGAATCTTTAAACTTCTACCTGAGAAGTGTAATGGGCCAAACAGATCAGATAGCAATCCTTTGCCAACACATGCTCCTTCTACGGAGCTGTTTAAGATTTCAGTGATAAAGCTGTATCCACTCCTCAGCACTCTCTCTCCCCCCATCACTCCTCAGCTCTCTCACTATCACTCACAGGCATTTAATATCAACAGGCTCAAAGACTCAGATGTGATTTTCCCTGACGGCACACTAGTAAGGGCATACACAGCCGTGTGGATTAAGGGATCAGAGAAAAACAATGTAACCTGCACTCAAGTAGAGTTATAGTTAATCTAAAGAAGATGTCAAATTACGTCATATTTCTCTCTCCATCTGTGTGTCTATATGTGTTCCTGTGTTTCAAGTTGTATTAGTCGTATACGGGATACACATGGTATACACTGTCCAACGAAATGCTTACTTGCAGGTTCCTTCGACAACGCAACAATAATAAGAAATAATAAAACATAAGCATACAAAACAAAGTAAATGGCTCAGTGGAATATAATAAAACATTAGCATGAGAATAAACATTTAGAATAAACATTTTAGCATAAGTATAATACATGAATGCGCATGTGTGTGGGTGTGTGCGTGTGTGTATCCCCCCCCCCAGACAATGGTTTCCCTGTGCAGTAGGGCTGTCCCTGACAAAAAAAGATAGAGTTGTCTGTTCTTTCGACCAATCAATTGGTCAACATTTTTAAACGTGTATTTTTACATATACACACACACCATATGTGTTTGAATAAAATCAACTATACTGAACAAAAATCTAAATGCAACGATTTCAAAGATTCTACTGTGTTACAGTTCATATAAGGAAATCAGTCAATTGAAATAAATTCATTAGGCCCTAATCTATGGATTTCACATGACTGGGCAGGGGTGCAGCCATTGGTGGGCCATGGAGGGCATAGGCCCACTGGGGAGCCAGGCCTAGCCAATTAGAATGATTTTTCCCCCCACAAAAGGGCTTTATTACAACCAGAAATACTCCTCAGCACCCCCCCTCAGACGATCCTGCAGGTGAAGAAGCAGAATGTGGCGGTCCTGAGCTGGCGTGGTTACATGTGGTCTGCGGTTATGAGGCCGGTTGGACATACTGCCAAATTCTCTAAAACAACATTGGATTCAGCTTATGGTAGAGAAATGAACATTCAATTCTCTGGGAACAGCTCTGGTGGACATTTCTGCAGTCAGCATGCCAATTGCACGTTCCCTCAAAACTTGAGACATCTGTGGCATTGTGTTGTGTGACAAAACTTCACATTTTAAAGTGGCCTTGAAGGCGCACTGAAGATTGTTACAGAACTGCGGACAGCGACCACTATCCAACGCAGGAGAAAGCGCATTTGTTATAAAATAATATGATCTTTATTTGTGTTGCACCATTCTTTTTACATAATATTACAATATACAATTTCAGTATCACATGTCTTATGCCCAAAAAGCATATGCGTTTTGTTTTGCCGGATGCCTAGCCCGCATTTTCCGTACGGTAAAGCAACACACGAGTTGAAAATATTGAACGCATGCGGTACACAGGACGCACCACAGCCTAGTGCAGCACCCCCAACGTAGTGTTGCGGACTGCTCCATTGACAATGAATGACTTCCGCCAGAACGCCAAGAGTTTGATGCATCTGGTGGACATGAGCTCTTAGAGTGATGGACTTGTGCCATCCCAGTGGGCTCCGCAATGGATTAGTCCACTGAGACAGGCACGTATCAGACAGGTGTCTACAAAAAAAATCATTCAACTGCTTGACTAAAGAAATCTTGGTCAACCAAAAGCCTAAATGGGGTCAGCCCTACTGTGCAGCCAGTCACCTCTTGGTTCCCACTCTGTGATTGGGGGCGATGTCGATGGTGTCGGTGGCGGAGTCGTGGCGGACAGCCAATCCCAGGTCAGCAATGCAGCAGGTACCATTCTTCTTCACCAGGATGTTCTTAGATTTCAGGTCGCGGTGGGCAATAGCTGGTTTACCTGGCGGGGGAGGGGGGAGAGGGTAATGAGTAAAAAGAGAGGGGGAGAGAGAGAAAGAGAGAGAGAGAGAGAGAGAGAGAGAGAGAGAGAGCTGGAAAAGGAAGAGAGCTATACAGAGAAAGGAAAAGCTGAGTGCAGAGTAAAATCACTACATTTCATAACTCTATATGTATGTTATGTGGATACATGTGCCACATTTGATTGGTCCTCCTCACCTTGCGTGCCGACGATCTCCATGTGCAGGTGAGCCAGGCCGCTGGAGGTGGACAGGGACAGCTTAATCATGCCCTCCACTGTCACCGTGTACCTGTTCAAGTAGTCAAACAGGGAGCCGTGCTCATGGTAATCTGATACCAGCCACAGCTGGGTCCATGTGCCGTTATCTTAGAGGAGAGCAAGGAGAGCGAGTGAGCTACCATATCCTATTCCACAGGGAAACACTTTACATAATGCCTGCATTTACAACAGATTATCTCATCAGTGAAAGGCTGCCTGCTAGCATCCTGACAATACTGTCTGGGTCCCAGCCAAATACACAGTTCTGCTTGTCAGCTGCTTTAGGCATGTGTGGCTTCTAGGTACACTGACACAAAATTAAGAGCATTATAGAAGTCATAGAAAATAGAACCAGTACTGGGTCATGTTCAGTTGGGCACACTGTAGCAAAACATTTTGCAACAGAACATACACATCTGGGCTCTTATTGGACAAGTTCAGAAAGTACCTTACTGTTTCTAAACGTTTTCTCCCTAATGAACACAACCCTGGCCCAATGTGCCCTCTGACCTTTGTTGTCGGCGGCGATGAAGCCCAGGATGTTCTCATGGCGCAGCATGACCGTCTGGTAAATCTCAGCCTCGCGGAACCACGATCGCTCCTCCCGAGATGAGAAGATCTTGACGGCCACCTCCTCTCCTCGCCAGCGGCCCCGCCACACCTCTCCGAACCTCCCCTTCCCGATGCTCTCCTGCAGGATAATGGTCCTTGCTATGGTCCTCTGCACCAGCAGGGGCAGGCCTGCAGGGGGGGATGGAGAGAGCGCACAGTTATCATGAGGCAAGGGTTTTAGGATACGTTTGAAAGCAGTTTTATACAGCCATGAGAGAGGAACTTGCAACTGTGATAGTGGTTGTGTGGAAAAGACACACCAAAATGGAACGTGTCTTTCTGTCGATAAAATCCAATGTGTACACAAAACCAGATTTCAAGAACATTGAGGGAGACAGATGTACAGTAAGACAACATAATCAACAAGTCAGACCTGCAGCTATTCTGTTTCAAAGACGTATAACAAAAAGTTTCTGAGAATATAACAAATTAACATTGTCTTCAGTGTCCTCTCATTCTCTAATTTGGAGGTCCTCTGTCTGTCTGATTTCATCTGGTGTAGGTGTCCATAAAACAGTATAGAGAGTGCTTCTGCCCACGTTCCGGCTGGTCTGCATTCTTTCCATTCTCTTAAACCTGGGCATTAAACTCAATGAGCGGAGAGAATAGCCAGCAAGTTGGTGCCAGTTCGATGGGCAGAGAAAAACAAATACTGTCCCGACCTCACTTCAATAGAGGGTAAATTTTTTAAGCAAACTTCCATTGTCCTATCAAGGATAATTTCCAGTTCTATGGACAGTTAATGTAAAAGCCCTCACAGAGGATGATGGCCACACATGACATGTTAACACATCAAAAGGGTTGGATGTAAGAGTGTGTGATGAGGCTATGATGATAGCTTTGACCTACAGTTGAAGTCGGAAGTTTACATACACTTAGGTTGGAGTCATAAAAACTCGTTTTTCAACCACTCCACACATTTCTTGGTAACAAACTATAGTTTTGGCAAGTCGGTTAAGACATCTACTTTGTGCATGACACAAGTCATTTTTCCAACAATTGTTTACAGACAGATTATTTCACTTATAATTCACTGTATCACAATTCCAGTGGGTCAGAAGTTTACATACACTAAGTTGACTGTGCCTTTAAACAGCTTGGAAAATTCCAGAAAATGATGTAATGGTTTCTGATAGGCTAATTGACATCATTTGAGTCAATTGGAGGTGTACCTGTGGATGTATTTTAAGGCATACCTTCAAACTCAGTGCCTCTTAGCTTGACATCATGGGAAAATCAAAAGAAATCAGCCAAGACCTCAGAAAAAAGTTTTAGACCTCCACAAGTCTGGTTCATCCTTGGGAGCAATTTCCAAACACCTGAAGGTAGCACGTTCAACTGTACAAACAATAGTACGCAAGTATAAACACCATGGGACCACGCAGCCGTGATACCACTCAGGAAGGAGATGTGTTCTGTCTCCTAGAGATGAACGTACTTTGGTGTGAAAAGTGCAAATCAGTCCCAGAACAACAGCAAAGGACCTTGTGAAGATGCTGGAGGAAACAGGTACAAAAGTATCTATTTCCACAGTAAAACGAGTCCTATATCGACATAACCTGAAAGGCCGCTCAGCAAGGAAGAAGCCACTGCTCCAAAACCGCCATAAAAAAGCCAGACTACGGTTTACAACTGCACATGGGGACAAAGATCGTACTTTTTAGAGAAATGTCCTCTGGTCTGATGAAAAAAAAATAGAACTGTTTGGCCATAATGACCATCGTTATGTTTAGAGGAAAAAGGGGGTGGCTTGCAAGCCGAAGAACATCATAATAATAATAATAATAATAATAATAATAATATGCCATTTAGCAGACGCTTTTATCCAAAGCGACTTACAGTCATGTGTGCATACATTTTTAGGTATGGGTGGTCCCGGGGATCGAACCCACTACCCTGGCGTTACAAGCGCCATGCTCTACCAATTGAGCTACATCATCCCAACTGTGAAGCACGGGGGTGGCAGCATCATGCTGTGGGGGTGCTTTGCTGCAGGAGGGACTGGTGCACTTCACAAAATAGATGGCATCATGAGGATGGAAAATTATGTGGATATATTGAAGCAACATCTCAAGACATCAGTCAGAAAGTTAAAGCTTTGTCGCAAATGGGTCTTCCAAATGGACAATGACCCCAAGCATGCTTCCAAAGTTGTGGCAAAATGGCTTAAGGACAACAAGGTCAAGGTATTGGAGTGGCCATCACAAAGCTCTGACCTCAATCCTACAGAAAATGTGTGGGCAGAACTGAAAAAGCGTGTGCGAGCAAGGAGGCCTACAATCCTGACTCAGTTACACCAGCTCTGTCAGGAGGAATGGGCCAAAATTCACCCAACTTATTGTGGGAAGCTTGTGGAAGGCTACCCGAAACATTTGACGCAAGTTAAACAATTTAAAGGCAATGCTAGCAAATACTAATTGAGTGTATGTAAACTTCTTACCCACTGGAAATGTGATGAAAGAAATAAAAGCTGAAATAAATCATTCTCTCTACTACTATTCTGACATTTCACATTCTTAAAATAAAGTGGTGATCCTAACTGACTTAAGACAGGGAATATTTACTAGGATTAAATGTCAGGAATTGTGAAAAACTGAGTTTAAATGTATTTGGCTAAGGTGTATGTAAACTTCCGACTTCAACTGTATGTGATTGTAAGCATTAATTAGATTATATTTCTCTGATTTAATGACGGTCCTTGTCTGGTAGCACTATGTCCCAGTCTAGCCGGCTGCTAAACTGATGTATTAATGAACACACGTCTCCTTATCATTCACTGAATCATTCATAGCGAAGATCATTTCCAGCAGCATATTGGCTCTCATTTCGCGAACCGCTCTATTGGAATGTAACAACTTAAGAGTATTGAACAACTTCTTCAATACAACCCATTGAGTAGATGACAAACTAAGCGCTTGCAAGGTCAGTATTGCAGCTCTATGGAAACAACTTCTAAGCCTTTTCAGAACAACTTACATAACCGGTCAGTAAATGACAGACTTGTGCAAAGTATCCACCTCTAGATGGAACAATCAATCCTAAGGGAGATTATAGCACTCCAAAGTGTGAAACCTGTATTGGTAAGGAGATGGGACACCATTATGTTAGCTTCAGGAACATCTTAATGAAGATAAAACTGGACATTTTGTACAGAGCATTATGCGTACTGTAGTAGATCATGCTACACCTCCTCTAAGCTCAGCAATCTGTTGAAAATGTATCTCACAAATGGTGTGATGAATGTACATCAAACTACAAAACCCACCTGATCCGGAGCCTGAGGTGGTCATGTCGTAGATGAGGTCTTTGAGGGTGTGGCCATCGGCCAGGAAGGGATGGTCCATTGCAGGGTCTTCCTCATTGGGCACACGGCGGTGGACGACAGAGCGGCTGTGGCACACGTAGAACACCAGCAGCAGCACGAAGCACAGCACACACACCGGCCCCGCGATGACGGCCGCCAGGGCCACTGGGCTCAGGGGAGGTGTACGGGCTGTGGGGACTAAGAAGGGGGGGAGGGGGTGTTCCAATCGCTGATTACTTTTTTGTACAACACCCCTCATTTTGATGTCCCCACAAACGACTTCAACGATAAGCCGTTAGGCCGTCTCTGTCTTAAGTATGTAGCAAACATAGAGCAGCAGAACAATTCTGTTTGAGTCAACAATCGCAGGAAATCAGTCATACTCATTACTTGATGTTTAGTCTGTCCGTAAGAGACAGTTTCCATCAAAACAACTTCCTTACATAATACACACAGCTTTTTTGGGAGTGATAACATAAAGCAGGAACTGATAGGATTCCTTTGAAAACATTGCAACAGCCTTGTTGAAACAACAAAAGCATTTCCCAAAACTGGCTAGACTTTCTCAGATTGACTTGCTGAGAATCAGAAAAGTGTAATCTGCACACAGCGCTGAGACGTGAGGGTGATCAAATATTAAATGGTACTTTAAGTCAGGCGCTTTCTGTTCTCAGAATAAGGGCCGTCGTGGGACTTCATTATGACGAATCAAAACATGCTTCTGGAGCTTTTAAACCGTTCAACTGCCTGGCCACTACCTGTCAAATCTTTCCAATATTCACAGCTGCACACATACAGAGGAAGTATTACTAATGGCTCTGCTATTGCTGTGACACAGCTGAACGACAGTATGGCGAGACAGAGAATATCTGCTGAATATCATACTGAAAAGCACAGCATGGAGGCAGTTTCAGACCCATGACCAAGAATGGCAGCAGTGAGGTGCTTCTTTCTGACCACAAGAGCTAAACCTGACAGCGTGTCCAGGCAGGGACATTGCCTCAGACATAAACAATATTCAGTGACATATAGAGCCAGTTTCCTTATCACAGATTAACCCTCTAGAGTCTAAACCCTGTCTAAGCCGGCAGCTTATTTGATGAAACATTGAATTTGGCATTAATGCTATTAGCCAATAGAAATGCATCGAATAACAGATTCATTACATGGAACAACAGATAGCCAAAAAAACTAATCAAAAGGACGTTTGTTCTGAAGTGTCTGTCCTATACCTGAGAGATATAAGAAATCAGGAAACACGGATATGCATTTAACCCCTTATTTTAGGCACTAACTATCTCCATATATACATCCATTCATTTTTTAAACTAGTACTGGTCTTGTGAGCAAGTACGTGTTCGTGAGAGTCATCTTGCCAGAGATGTCATAGTAGTTTGTAGGCCAAACTGTTCGGACGCTACAGACGTTTTCGTGAGAAGACCGATTTTCGGGATGTCTAGGTCTGACAAACACCCCTCCAGCTCTGCCACTTGTCACCGCTGATGTGGAAGGGCGATATCGGCCGATACGGTGGATTGAGATGCAGCCCATGCAAAACAACATATCTTGCTTAAACGTACAGATTTTTTTTTAGGGATGACCCCATTTAGTCGACTGTTCGATTGTTTGGTCGATAGGCTGGCTGTTGGTCAGCCCAGATTATTTTAGTCGAGCAGTGGCAAATATATATAAATAATGTATGGCACACGAGACACCCGTCTGTCTCATGCCTGTCTGAGTGGACTAATCCATTGCGGCGGCCACGAGGATGGCACACCAGTATCACCAGTAGTACATTCACTGTTAATTCCCATAATTTCTAATCTACAATGTTTGTTTGGTTACGGTAATTACAGTCTTACCGTTGTCATTGTAGGAGTGGACACGTTGTTTGCAGAGCGCACAACCTAGGCTACACTTGTTTTCATTTCATTCCATTTATGAGTTTTCAATTTATTCATTTGTTTGGAGTGCTCCTGTCAATCTTCAGTAAGGACACACACCTGATTACGCATAGAAGAAGGCCTAGGCTATCTGGCTTGTGCGCAAATGTAGAGACTTATAAATGCCCATTTGGGGATCTGATACTATTTCTGATTGTCTTAACTCACCATCACTGTGTAGCTTCTCAAAGTAATTTTTTCTTTGCCTCAAACAGCAAGTAAACAAAGTCTGTTTTTACATCCATTGAGAATGACAATAGTTCCTCAACAATCTTTCCTGCTCTCTCCCTTTCGATAACCACTCAGCATGAAAGGGGAATAAAATGTTATGCTCTGATCCGGCGGAAACGTCATAAAATAGGCCTACCTGATTACTTCTTATCCCTTGCGCAAATAGCCTACAGTTGTGTCTTTCCGGAGCTCACTGGCCCAGGAAACTGAGGGCCCAGAATATTTTATTAAATGTTGCAAGTTTTCTAGCACCAGCTTCAGGCCAGACCAAGTTAATAGTTGATACAATGTTTCAAGTTCCTTGCAGACAGGCCATGCGTAGCCAATGTGATTTATAGGATATATATTTTTATCCTGATATTTTCTACCTACAGGCTACAAAGTTTTTTGATTTGTTGGCTTTATGTAGGCTATTGTTACATATTGGCAATGGACAATAGTTACTTTTAGATTTCTATCATTTTAATTTGATAGAATTTTGATTAACCACATGACATTGATTTTGAGATATGAAGACTTTATTATAAATTAAATTAAACTGTTCCACGAAAATGTGCACATGAAAATCATAACTGGCAAACAGATCAGTAGAAATGATACGATAAAGTGGCACTCCAAATGGAAAATGTTGCCGACTGTTGGTGTAGCCTATTACCGGTAACTTCAGGAGTATAACGGCAGAATCTGCAAAGGCCAGCAGCAGGAGGAGGGTCGAGAAATTTTTTTTGCTCTTCTGGTTAGGCTACATTGATCTCTGACTCCCTCTTTAGTTATTTGTGTGTCTTCATTTTTAATCGCAGTGCTTAAGGCATCAGACAAGCTACATATAGTTGATTTTATTCAAACATAGGGTGGGTCTATATACCAATCGATTGGTCGAAAGAATAGACGACTCTCTGTCGACCAAACGGTTTGTGCCGTCATTCTGTTACCAAACTTTGTATCTGCACTGTTCTTCGAGTAAATGTATTTTTTTTAATGTTCAGTGGAAATTGTAGTCCTTGTGCATAGTAGTCCTTGTGCATAGAGTTGTATGGTTTTTTTAACTTTGCAGTCATTGGTTTTTGTTTGACATGCATTCTAAAGTGATGTCTTGATGTCACTGTTACCGTGTTATTGCCCATTCCTAACCCCTACCCCAAAACATTTTTGTAAATCTGAAATGATTGGGAAAGTATAAGCAATATGGTAATATGATGGGCAACATTTTTACCATTCAACTTCCTCCTATCCACTCCCTTCAGATCTACACAGTTGCACTGCACATGAGGTAGGTGCCTATGAACTAGTGGTGGATTTGGGACTGGGCATGCGAGTGTGTGAGAGATGAGACTTCGAGCCATATCAGACACTTACATGTCAACGAGTAGTCGCCGGGGTCGGAGTCTTTGTTACACATGTCTGTGTTGCAGCAGACAGGGACCACCCCAGTGTTCTCCTTTTTCGAGGGGGCGCAGACAAACGGCCTGTCCTTAGGGATGAGGTCTGCCTCAGGTAAACACATGCTCCCCTGTGCCACCATCTTACTGCCCGACTTCACGAAGGACACAAAGCACAGGCCGTCCGTGTAGCAAGTGCTGTTACTACACCACTGGCAGTGGCACTGCAACGCTAAAGCAGGAGAGAGAGAAAGGTTGTTAGTGATTACACAGAATACAGAAACAGAATGGACATGGGTCTTTCTATAAACTAAGGTAGCCATGAGCATTTCTTGGAGTGGACAACTGTTTGGAGCTGTTACAATGTAATTAATGATCATTAGCCTTTTTTTGGTGTGAATACATTAAGCTATGAAAAGGGGGAACATCGATACATTCAATATAATTCATGAGTTGAATCAAAACCTGTTTAAACTAGGGGTGTTAACGTTTAAACGTTAAAACGAAGTTGGGATCATTAACATTAAGAAAAATCACTAACAAAGAAAATAAGTTTTTTTACCCATTTAATTACAATCACAGTGCAGTTATCACAAAATATTATTTTCTGTGTTATAGCCGATTGGCTGTAAAGGCCTGGGAAAGTTGTGTAATTCAAATAAAACCAGAGGAAAAGGTTAACTTTAGGCTACTTTGGTGAATTTGCAAGGCTTGCAAGATGCAGAATACCAAAACATAGAGTGCATTCAGAAAGTATTCAGACCAGTTCTTCTGTGGAGATGGGAGAACCTTCCAGAAGGACAATCATCTCTGCAGCACTCCACCAATCAGGTGTTTACGGTAGAGTGGCCAGATGGAAGCCACTCCTCAGTAAAAAGGACATGACAGCTCGCTTGGAGTTTGCCAAAAGGCACCTAAAGGACTCTCAGATCATGAGAAACAAGATTCTCTGGTCTGATGAAACCAAGATTGAACTCTTTGGCCTGAATGCCAAGCGTCACGTCTGGAGGAAACCAGGCACTGCTCATCACCAGGCCAATACCATCCCTACAGTGAAACATGGGGGTGGCAGCATCATGCTGTGGGGATGTTTTTCAGCGGCAGGGATTGGGAAACTAGTCAGGATTGAGGGAAAGATGAACGGAGCAAAGTACAGAGAGATCCTTGATGAAAACCTGCTCCAGAGTGCTCAGGACCTCAGACTGGGGCGAAGGTTCACCTTCCAACAGGACAACGACCCTAGGCACACAGCCAAGACAACGCAGGAGTGTCTTAGGGACAAGTCTCTGAATGTCCTTGAGTGGCCCAGCCAGAGCCCGGACTTGAACCCAATCGAACATCTCTGGAGAGACCTGAAAATAGCTGTACAGCGATGCTCCCCATGCAACCTGAGAGCTTGAGAGGATCTGCAGAGAAGAATGGGAGATACAGGTGTGCAAAGCTTGTAGCGTCATACCCAAAAAGTCGCAAGGCTGTAATCGCTGCCAAAGGTGCTTCTACAAAGTACTGAGTAAAGGGTCAGAATACTTATGTAAATGTAATATTTCTGTTTGTATTTTTTTATAAAATGTGCAAGAATTTCTAAAAACCAGTTTTTGCTTTGTCATTATGGGGTAGTGTGTAGATTGAGGATTATATATAAATGTAAAAAAACAAAAACAGAATAAGGCTGTAACGTAACAAAATGTGGAAAAAGTCAAGGGGTTTGAATACTTTCTGAAATGCACTGTATGAGCACGTTTCCGCCTGCCCGTTCCCCCTCTCCCTCGCGCTGGCCTGCCTGCTCAGTCTCTTCGCTAATGATGCAAGTGTCTGTTCAGTGTTCCGTCTGTTGCGTGTAGAATATCCTAGCCTATTCATTGCACCGATGTTGCAGGAATACAGATTGCCTCATAATATGAAATTACAGTAGGCTACCGGTAGCCTTTATTGATGAACCTTTTCATACATAATGGAACGTGGCTCCTTGAAAATGCCTCAGCTACGGCATGTTTGTTTGTCTGTCTGTTAGGCTACACTACAGATTTTTAAATGCTGACACAAAACCTTCTCTGGCTATATGAATGGGCATTTTACTTGTCTGTAAAGCAATGAGGCTTCTGAAGCGGGACTAACATCCATCACTAGGTCACCTAGAACTGTCAATCAAATAATATTGAGCTCCTGCCTGCTGCCTGTGTGCAGATCAATCTCTCCTAAAAAAGTACTTTAAAAAAAGTGTGTTATATACTGAGACATTTAGTATAAATAAAACCCATCTAGCTACCATACCATAAAAAACAGCATTAAAAACAACAACAGCTGCACATCAATCAGTGACGTTTATTGTTAGGGAAAAAATACAGAAAATGTTATGCTGGAGTAGAATTTTAGTCACTTTTTGTTTTTTTGTTGTCTGAAAAGTTACCAATTGTTGCTATCGACATGTTACTGTAGCTGCGTTCTATGTCTGTAAAAGGGCTGCGGTAGATATAACTTCATTGCCCAGCCCTAGCGGTCATACATACGTAATAGGACCATTAATCTGGATTGTAAATTGACGTGGATTTGTAAAAAAAAATGTATCTTGTTTTAACAGAAAACTGCTAAAAATAATGCAGTTTGAACATTAAGCAAAGTTTTTAATTTCTCACATCTCTAGTTTAAATCCGTTCTCACGCTTGGATTCTTCAAAGATTTAGCAAAAATGGTGACATAAAACACTACCTTTCTTTCCTTACATTTATGATACTGCAGTTTGTCGTTATATCATACAATTGAATTACACATTGAACTTGATCCTGTAAAATTCCTGAATATTGCTGTCGGACTCTTTTTGTATGGAGATCTGGGAAGTGCACTGTAACCTCGTAACATTTCGTATCTCCCTATGTTACGGTGTGAAAAAAATTGAATGCTTCTAACAGAAAGAGTAACTTTAACAAGATGAATAAAAAAAAGTATAATGTCATTAACAGGGTTCTTCAATAATTATGCAAAATAGCTGTTTGATGTGCATTTGATGTCCAGCTGTTTAGTTACGTGGGAAAATTATCGCGCTACATCAGCTGATTCAGGAAAGGATTCTCTGAATGACAGTCAAGTGATAAAGAGCTGGTGTAATACTGCATGCAGTTTAACAACAACCAAAGTGCGGGAATTAATGTTGGTCTGGAGAATATATGGAACATTTTGGTGTCTGTTGTTATGACTGTAAGTCGCTTTGGATAAAAGCGTCTGCTAAATGGCATATTATTATTATTATTATTATTATTATTATTATTATTATTACGGCAGTCAAGAAAGTTAGCCTATGTTGTGGTCAACATTATGTCAAGACTCCTGAGGTAAGATTACGGTCCGTGTACGTTTTGATCGTCTGTTTTCCGAGTTAAAATGGAGCAATTGGGGACGTGAAAACGGCTTGTTTTTCCTTTCTGAATAAAAAAACAAAAAAACATGTAATGTTTTATCATTTTATCATTTTTATCATTATAATTTTTGCATATAAAACCAAAAAAACTACTTGCTATTTCGATTTTCACATGTGGGTGGGGTTAAATGTGGAATGCCTGTCATTGGTTAAGTGCACAGCAAACACTTCCTGTCCTTTCAAAGTAGGAGTTCACTCTTCTAACATTCTATGAATCTATCTAATTGATTAATAGCTGCCCATACCGTGCCAGTGCCAAGATAAAGTAAGATTTCTCGATTTCTGCATAAGATTCAGTGTGTATTGACTTATTAATGAACTGCTGTTACTGTAAATGGTTAGCTGACTGATATATCCTAGCTACCTAACTAACCATTGGTAATCTTATTCAATGATGCCATACAGTCAACACGACAGTATCTATTGCTAGAGTAGAGACATACCCTAGCTATAATTAGTCAGTGGTTGCACATCTAACTAGCTGGAATGAAGCAAGGGTGTATTTGTATTTGTATTTATTATGGATCCTCATTAGCTGCTACTCTTCCTGGGGTCCAGAATAGTAGACATGTAAATATATCCTTTCACTGTTTAAAGCAGGTCTTCAAATACCCGGAACTGTCTTAACAGACTGATAGGGTGGCGTGGGTGTGTCCAGCTTACACCTGTGCAAATCCATGTGTGTATAGCAATGGAATGAAACATCCAACCAATGCCCCAAGTCATGCTGTAGGTCCACCACACACCTGAAGGGTTGCGGGGTCTTGTCCACAAGCAACCCCTAGCCCCTACCCCTAGACACTTGTGGAGATCTGAGAGGATTGGACAGGTGTAAGCAATACCGCCAAAATTCCACCAAGCCTTTCAGAGGGTAAGGTGGAGCTCTCACCATGTCACCACCCATCAATCCCTCTCAAATCTCCACAAGTGTCTTGACTCTGGGCAGTAGGGGCTAGGGGTCGTTTCTGGACATGCCATGGGTATTATTGTAGCACAGTCAGACAGTCTGGTACTGTCTATAATGTTAAAGGGGCAGTGCAATTAAAAACTAGATTTTCCGTTTTCTTATGATATTTCCACACATTCAGTTTTGTGTTTCTATCATTGTGGGGACCAAATAATAGATTTTCCCTAACCCTAAGTCTAACCCTAACTTTAACCCTAAGCCTAACCCCAAACCCCTAACCCTAATAGTAACCCTAAACCTAAAATAGCATTTTTCCTTCTGGTACCCACAAGGATAGTTAAACAAAACCACACACACACACACACACACACAGGTAGAGCTGGGACGATATCAGTATCAAAAATATTTTTTACATGGCAAAAATGAAAACATGAAGCAGACCGAACTCTTTGACCTTTAAAAACCTGCTGCATGTAAAATATTGTGTGCTATAAATGTGACTCTGGATGCAACAATGATGTTTGTTTCAAACATTAGGGCTGTTTTCCTGAAGAAGTTAAATCTGCTAAATGTTTTGTTTCCTTGCCTCGATACTAACAAGTATCACGATACTGGTATCGTCCTGGCCCTACTGAAGTCTAAATAACACTCAGAAATTTTGAAAATTATGATAATGCCCTTTTTGTGTAAGAGCTGTTTAAAAATAAAAAAGCCTGTTCAGGTGGGATGTAACTTTGGCCCACATCATGACGTCACAATTTGATCTGATTATAATAGACCAATGACTGTTCATCTCGGTAAGGGGGTGGACTCTAGAACAGCCTATCATCCAATCAGGGCTGTGTATGTAAATATATTACAATTTGTTTCCTAATGCCCACATGATCAGACTGAACATTAAATGATTCAAAATATATTTTGGAGTTATTTTCATTAAATAAACAGTGATTTATTAGACATACAGTGATGATTTAAACATAACATTTGAAAGACTGCATGGGGGCTTTAATACCTGTCAAATACTTGCTTCCTCTGTCCTAGGGAGAGTTCAAATGCATTTCCTTGATTCGTTGCATCCTCTCTCCTCATCTCCTTTTCAAAACCCATTGGATGAGAAGGTCAGAGGTCCTTTCCCTCTCACCTTCTTATGCAATGGGTTTTGAGAAAGTGAGGAGAGAGGACGTGAGGAATCAAGGAAATGCAATTGAGATTCTCCCCTTGTTTCCCCCATTCTTCACCTCCTTCTCAAAGCACATTGGGGGAGAGTAGTGAAGGTTCCTCCCCTCAGGCTACAATGCACTTTCAAGCAGAGGCAAGGAGTGGAGGAAACAAGGACAGAGGAAGCAAGAATTTGACGGCTAGTTTTCAGACACACAGACTCACACACAATTCTTGAAGAGTTTATTGATTATAATGATTTCATTACTAGTTATTATTGTCAATGATTTTGGTGACAGAACCCGTTGAATTATATTAACTATTAAAACAAAATAACGAAATGAGCACAGCCAAGTCAACACCTTAACATTTCTCTGTTTGTCCGAAATATAAACCAGCCTTATGAAAATTGGCATTCTTCGTGCACAACAGGTAAAGATGTTCTTTCAGAGCAGTAATTGCAGGATAAATGTGATCACAGCGGCTGTGGTTTGTAAGTAGCCTACACAATGTGGTTGATACTGGGTTGCAACCACAGACGCTACAACACACACAGTAAGTAGCTGGAAAGTGTTGCTAATGCTTTTACTGCAACAGGAGAGTCCAGACTCTAGAGAGTTCTTATTAGTCAGCCTTTGGTCCCATAGCTCAGGTTACACAGGGAGGCTGGGAGGAGGTGTGTGTACAACAGTGTCACCATGCAGCGCTGCAGCTAAAACAAACCAGATGTAGTGGGCCCTGCAATACACTCAGGCTGCAGCGAGTGACACCGCTCCTTTGATCTCACACACACATAGGCTAAACACACTACAAAGATACACACAAAACGCACACAGCGATACACATAGCGACACACACTAGACACCGGAGCCGCAACAGGCCAAACCTCAAACGGCCTATCATCAAACCACAGGCTACAATTAAAGAAGCAGTGTGGGATAGCACGCCGTCTAGACGGACCTCTAGATCTCTGTCTTGAAACAAGATCGGGGAGGGAGCGAGAGGGCGGCCATTAAAGGAACGCTAGGCGTAATCGACCTCTGCTGCATTCCTAGAGAGAGGATCTTGGTGTCGGTACTTGAGTGGGAGTTGTAATGGCAGCAGTACTGCAGAGAGAGTCAGGGGAGGAGAGTAGTTAAGTGAGAGAGAATGGGCCGTGGTAGAGTGACAGTCCGATCATTTATCCTGTGGCACTGACTGAGGCATCCATCAGACCTGGGAAAACTATAGTTTTAACTATGCTTTGTGGAAGATAACAATTTTTTAAGGGGGACGAAATAGTTACTTTAGAAATGACTACTTTTGAAAATAATTTGAATACAGATCTCAGAAAGTAACTACTTTTTTAACCTATTTAAATACAGATCTGAGAAAGCAACTTTACGTTACAGCCTTGAACTAAAATGGATTTAAAAAAGATTAAATCTACACACAATACCCCATGATGACAAAGTGAAAACAGGTTTAGACATTTTTGCAAATGTATTAAAAATAAAATGTACATAAGTATTCAGACCCTTTGCTATGAGACTCGAAATTGAGCTCCGGTGCATCCTGTTTCCATTGATCATCCTTGAGATGTTTCTACAACTTGATTGGAGTCCACTTCTGGTAAATTCAATTGATTGGACATGATTTGGAAAGGTACACACCTGTTTATATGAGGATTCTCTGTTGCTAGGCAAGATTGTGTGTGTGTGTGTGAAGTGGTAATCTGACCTAGGGTCGAATTGCTCACTCTTACCTAAATCCATGGCTGTCTTACCTTATCAGAGACTGAAATCAGACTGTTGCCTAATGCATCTCTCCTCAAACAAAAGGTTCTGAGAGCGGAGTCAAAGTTGAGCAGCGTTTAGACTAGTCATGAGTAATTACAGCATGACGGGAGGGGAAGAGGAGTAGGTTTGGGTATGTTTGAAAGATTAAGTGTGAACCTGTCATGTCCAACAATCAATCTTCAGGTCAAGCTCGGGAGAGCTGTGGTTGAACAGAGTTTAAACTAAACATGAGTGTTTTTGCAAGATAAGGGATTGATTGATTGTATTACTATTGATTCTGAACTGAATAAAAGTTTAATTTAGCTGCCATCATAGACAAAGGGAGTGGGCGGAGCGATAGAGAGCGGGAAACTGAAGAGGGAGGGGTTTTGAGCTAGAAGGGATGTGAATGGGACTATATAGATGGGGAGCAGAGAGAGAGAAGAAAGGCTACTCTGCAGACCAGCCTGGCTTTGTTGAATTGTAATAAAGTCAATCTTGATTATACAAAAACTCTGGAAGAACTTAGATTTTTAATAAAGTATAGTGATTATTTTCCACATCACTTCCAGAAGGACAACCATCTCTGCAGCGCTCCACCAATCAGGCCTTTATGGTAGAGTGGCCAGATGGAAGCCACTACTCAGTAAAAGGCACATGTCAGCCCGCTTGGAGTTTGCCAAAAGGCACCTAAAGGACTCGCAGACCATGAGAAACAAGATTCTCTGGTCTGATGAAACCAAGATTTAACTCTTTGGCCTGAATGCCAAGCGTCACGTCTGGAGTAAACCTGGCACCATCCCTACGGTGAAGCAAGGCGGTGGCAGCATCATGCTGTGGGGATGTTTTTCAGTGGCAGGGACTGGCACGTTGTGTTTGCTATTCCAAGTTTATCATTTTAAAAGGCTAATTGATCATTAGAAAACCCTTTTGCAATTATGTTAGCACGCTTTGCAACTCTGCCTAGAAGGTCAGCATCCCGGAGTCGCCTCTTCACTGTTGACGTTGAGACTGGTGTTTTACGGGTACTATTTAATGAAGCAGCCAGTTGAGGACCTGTGAGGCGTCTGTTTTTCAAACTAGACACTAATGTATTTGTCCTCTTGCTCAGTTGTGCACCGGGGCCTCCCACTCCTCAGATTACCGGGACGCGTACTCCGAGCATGCGCTAACCAACTGGCAAGTGTCTTCACTGACATTTTCAACATGTCCCTGACTGTGTCTGCAATACCAACATGTTTCAAGCAGACCACCATAGTCCCTGTGCCCAAGAACTTGCCTAAATGACTACCGACCCGTAGCACTCACGTCTGTAGCCATGAAGTGCTTTGAAAGGCTGGTCATGGCTCACATCAACACCATTATCTCAGAAACCCTAGACCCACTCCAATTTGCATACCGCCCCAATAGATCCACAGATGATGCAATCTCTATTGCACTCCACACTGCCCTTTCCCACCTGGACAAGAGGAACACCTACGTGAGAATGCTATTCATTGACTACAGCTCAGCGTTCAACACCATAGTGCCCTCAAAGCTCATCACTAAGCTAAGGACCCTGGGACTAAACACCTCCCTCTGCAACTGGATCCTGGACTTCCTGACGGGCCGTCCCCAGGTGGTAAGGGTAGGTAACAACACATCTGCCACGCTGATCCTCAACACGGGGGCCCCTCAGGGGTGCGTGCTCAGTCCCCTCCTGTACTCCCTGTTCAGCCATGACTGTATGGCCAGGCATGACTCCAACACCATCATTAAGTTTGCCGATGACACAACAGTGGTAGGCCTGATCACCAACAACGATGAGACAGCCTATAGGGAGGAGGTCAGAGACCTGGTCGTGTGGTGCCAGGATAACAACCTCTCCCTGAACGTGATCAAGACAAAGGAGATGATTGTTGACTACAGGAACAAAAAAAATTGACTGAGCACGCCCCCATTCTCATCGACGGGGCTGTAGTGGAACAGGTTGAGAGCTTCAAGTTCCTTGGTGCCCATATCATCAACAAACTATCATGGTCCAAACACACCAAGGCAGTCGTGAAGAGGGCATGACAAAGCCTATTCCCCCTCAGGAGACTGAAGAAATTTGGCATGGGTCCTCAGATCCTCAAAAACGTTTACAGCTGCACCAGAGAGCATCCTGACTGGTTGCATCACTGCCTGGTATGGCAACTGCTCGGCATCCGACCGCAAGGCACTACAGAGGGTAGTGCGTACGGCCCAGTACATCACTGGGGCCAAGCTTCCTGCCATCCAGGACCTCTATACCAGGCGGTGTCAGAGGAAGGCCCTAAAAATTGTCAAAGACTCTAGCCACCCTAGTCATAGACTGTTCTCTCTTCTACCGCATGGCAAGGGGTTATTATTATTATTTTTGTACCCCCCTTTTCTCCCCAATTTCGTGATATCCAATTGCGATCCAATTACAATCTTGTCTCATCGCTGCAACTCCCCAACGGGCTCGGGAGAGGTGAAGGTCGAGTCATGTGTCCTCCGAAACATGACCCGCCAAACCGTGCTTCTTAACACCCGCCCCCTTAACCCGGAAGCCAGCTGCACCAATGTGTCGGATAAACACTGTTCAAATGATGACCCAAGTCAGCCTGCAGGCACCTGGCCCGCAATGAGCCAAGTAAAGCCTCCCCGGCCAAACCCTCCCCTAACCCAGACAACGCTGTGCCAATTGTGCGCCGCCCTATGGGACTCCCGGTCACCGCCGGTTGTGACACAGCCTTGGATTGAACCCGGGTCTATAGTGACGCCTTAGACCTCTGCGCCACTCGGGAGGCATGATCATGCTGTTTAATCAGCTTCTTGATATGCCACACCTGTCAGGTGGATGGATTATCTTGGCAAAGGAAAAATACTCATTAACAGGGATGTCAACAAATTTGTGCACAACATTTTAGCAAAATAAGCTTTTTGCGCATATGGAACATTTCTAGGATCTTTTATTTCAGCTCATGAAACATGGGACCAACACTTAACATTGCATTTATATTCAACTACCTAGAGTATTTGAAAAGTTGCATTTTCATATAAACTACAAAATATAACTATTTTCTGCCCAGGTCTGGCATTCATCTATCTGCTTGGCAGAGACTGCTGAAAACATAGAACAAAAGTATTGACCTAAAACTCTGCACTCAAAAGAGAAAGGTTAGAAAAAACCCATTACAAAACAACTTTGCCCATCTATCAAACTCTTAACATTGTGCTATTTTGACATAGATTCAAATAAGAGTTGGGTTTCAATCAATATAGGGTTGTGTACGACTTAGCAAGTTAACAAAAGGAGCTTTCTGAGACCTTATAAAATAAAATAATTGGGCTTTGAGCTTTTTTACTGACGCAAAGACATTGTCCTTTGAGCAGTAAAAAAGCCTTCAGAAAACTGTTATCGAGGGTCAGGCAAAGCCGACAACATCCAACTGGAGCGCAGAGTAAAAAGCCATAAGGCACCAAGGTTTAATAAAAAGATGACGAAACACATCGATTCAACAGAATCAATCCAGCACAGCCAACAACTCCGCTTGATTTGGCCTCATGTATGTCCTACACATGTACCCTACAACCTCTAAATTGGTGTGATCATCACACATCCAGGGAGATGTAAGGACTGAGGATGACCCCTGCATGGCTCGCTGAGTCCCACTTTATCCCAAATGGCACCCGATTCCCTACGTAGTGCACTACTGACCAGGGCCCCTATGGGGGAATAGGGTGCCATTTGGGACGCAACCACAGTCCACTGGAAGAGGCAGGCACTCAGGAGACAGATGCGAGGTGGCAGGCACTTTGAGTTACTTGGAGCCTGCTCTCTCTCCCTGGGTACTGGAGTGGTTGGGCGCCTGGGTCCTTCTCCACTGAGTGCTTGACTCATTAATTAATGGATGGCTGGGGCTGTCCTCTCCATGTACCATCAATTACTGTACTCACCAGCCTGGCCCAGGTTCTCCTCCCTTCCTCTGACTCCTTCCTTCTCTGCACTCTTCTTTCATTCCCCTGTTTCTTTCACAACCCCATAAACCGTTCACTCAACACCTCCCTCTAGTAATTAGTACCTGTAGACTTCCACTCATTGTGCTAATGCTAGTTAGCATTGGCTCGCGAAACCACTGCTAACTTCCTTCATATTGCACACAGAGACATAAAAATGGTATCCACAAGTTAATCTGACTCTGGGTTAATATAACAAGGGCTTAAATGCCAGAATCTCACAGTATCCCTTTAAGCCTGCCTGACCTATCAATAGACGGAAAGGTACTACTGATGTTATGACACCCTGATGTCAGCACTGATCAAAATGTGTTAAACTTAAAAGCATGCAGTTTAAAAACAACAAAAGATCTGTAGGGAGCTGCTTTCTAGCTACAAACTAGTCCATCTTTCCTCTTGTTTCCCAAAAGGTAGCTAGTATTGAGAATCACCAATCGATTGGTCGAAATTTTAAAATGTGTATTTTTCCATATATACACAGCCCCTATGTTTGAATAAAGTCAACTATATGTAGGCTACTGAGCTTGTCTGATGCTTGAAGCACTGCAATTAAAAATTAAGACAAATAACTAAAGGAGGGAGCCAGAGATCAATATAGCCTAACCAGAAGAAGAAAAAACTGTTCCCGACCCGACTCCTCCCGCTGCTGCTGGCCTTCTCAGATTCTGCCATTAAGCTTCAGAAGTTGCCGGTAATAGGCTACACCAGTGTTCGGCAACCATTTCCCTTTTGGAGTGCCAAGTTATCGTACCATTTCTAATGATCAGCGTGCCAGTTATGATATTCATATGCACATTTTCGTCGAACAGTTTCATTTCATTTATAATAAAGTCTTCATATCTCAAAATCAATGTCATGTGGTTAATCAAAATGCTATCTAAATGAAAATGATACAAATCTAAAAGTAACTTCTATTGCCATTGCCAATATGTAAAAATAGCCTACATAAAGCCAACAAATAAAAACATTGCAGCCCACAGGTAGAAAATATCCTCATAAAAATAAATATCCTATAAATCCCACTCTTAAGGGCCCAGAATATTTTATACAATGTTTCATGTTTGCTAGCAGGAGCTTCGGGGCTGGACATGGCCTGTTCGCAAGGAACTTGAAACATTGTATCAACTATTAACTTGGTCCAGCCCCGAAGCTCCTGCTAGCGAACTTGAAACATTGTATAAAATATTCTGGGCCCTTAATTCTGGGCTCCAGACAGACAGACACATCTGTAGGCTATTTGCGCAAGGCATAACCCACCCCCCATAAAAAAAATAAAAAGGTGGTTGTCCCACTGGCTATCATAAGTTGAACGCACCAATTTGTAAGTCGCTCTGGATAAGAGCGTCTGCTAAATTATGTAAATGTAAATGTAAATGCATAAGAAGTAATCAGGAAGGCCTTTTTTATGACGTTTCCACTGGATCAGAGCATGACATTTTTTCCCCCTTTCATGCCGAGTGGTTATCGAAAGAGAGGAGAGAGCTGGAAATATTTTTCAAATGGGCTACATTGAGGAAGTATTGTCATTCTCAATGGATGTAAAAACATACTTTTTTAAAACTTTAACACCAGTCTCAACGTCAACAGTGAAGAGGCGACTCCGGGATGCTGACCTTCTAGGCAGAGTTGCAAAGATAAAGCCAGGGCGGCAGGTAGCTTAGTGGTTAAGAGCGTTGTGCCAGTAACCGAAAGGTCGCTGGTTCTAATCCCAGAGTCGACTAGGTGAAAAATCTGTCGATGTGCCCTTGAGCAAGGCACTTAACCCTAATTGCTCCTGTAAGTCGCTCTGGATAAGAGCGTCTGCTAAATGACTAAAAATGTAAATGTAAATATCTCAGACTGGCTAATGAAAAGAAAAGATTAAGATGGGCAGTCTGAGATAAGGCTTTTTCTTTGCAACTCTGCCTAGAAGGTCAGCATCCCGGAGTCGCCACTCTTCACTGTTGACGTTGAGACTGGTGTTTTGCGGGTACTATTTAATGAAGCTGCCAGTTGAGGACCTGTGAGGCGCCTGTTTCTCAAACTAGACACTAATGTATTTGTCCTCTTGCTCAGTTGTGCACCGGGGCCTCCCACTCCTCTTTCTATTCTGGTTAGATCCAGTTTGCGCTGTTCTGTGAAGGGAGTAGTACACAGCGTTGTACGAGATCTTCAGTTTCTTGGCAATTTCTTGCACGGAATAACCTTCATTTCTCAGAGCAAGAATAGACTGACGAGTTTCAGAAGAAAGCCATTTTGAGCCTGTAATCGAACCCACAATTGCTGATGCTCCAGATACTCAACTAGTCTCAAGAAGGCCAGTTTTATTGCTTCTTTAATCAGCACAACAGTTTTCAGCTGTGCTAACATAATTGCAAAAGGGTTTTCTAATGATCAATTAGCCTTTTAAAATGATAAACTTGGATTAGCAAACACAACATGCCATTGGAACACAGGACTGATGGTTGCTGATAATGGGCCTCTGTACACCCATGTAGATTTTACATAAAAAATCAACCGTTTCCAGCTCCATAGCCATTTCAACATTAACAATGTCTACACTGTATTTCTGATCAATTTGATGTTATTTTAATGGACAAAAAAAAATGCTTTTCTTTCGAAAAACAAGGACATTTCTAAGTGACACAAAACTTTTGAACGGTAGTGTATATACTGTATATTTGCCACTGCTTGACTAAAAGAATCTCGGTCGACCAACAGCCTATCGACCAAACCATCGACCAGTTGACTAAATGGGGTCAGCCATTTATGGAATGAAAAGAAACAAATCCAAGGCAGAACTAGACGTTTACAATCTAGAGAAAGAGAAAACATGTACTGGGCACTGTACTCAGGCTGTGTACAGGTTACACAACCTGGCCTTGAAGTCATGAGGAGAACAAAGCAGAATAGAGACAACCAAATAAAGAACAGCACAAATAAACTAAAACAGTTCTCATATAGAGGTGTATTCATAGGATCAGTATGGCCACTGTAATACTGTGCTCAGCAGAAGAGACCTTGGCAAGCTAAAGGGAATGAGAGCCGTGGATGATTGCCTGTTCCTTTCCCCTCAGACAGTAGCCTTGACTGTCTCAAATCTCTCTCCCATCTCTCGTTCTCTCTTCTGCTCCCTTCTCAAATTCTGGGGGGAGGATAGGCCTACTCAGTGCTCCAGATGTTATAGAGGAGGATGATTGACAGCCCCACTGGAACAGGATGACCTCTACAGCCACTAACAATACTCCAATACACACAATGAACAAAACCAAGTAACTAGCATTGAACCAGCAGGATTCCTAAAAAAAACTATCCAATTCAGCCACTGCTGTCAAAAGCCCATAAACCCAATCACAAACTGGTGGCAGAGTCCGCAAAGGCAGTTAACCCGAAGTACGAGGGACACTATGATTATGAGTCCGAACCACACTTGGGGCAAGTTAGGGGCGGCAGGTAGCCTAGTGCTTAGAGCGTTGGGCCAGTAACCAAAAGGTTGTTAGTTCGATTCCCCAAGCCGACATGTGCCTTGAGCAAGGCTCTTAATCCTAATTGCTCCAGCTTCGCTGTTGATAGTGGCATACCCTGGCCGTGATCCCACTCTCCAAAAGGTGTCTCCGGGAGAGTTGGGATATGCCAACAACAACAAAATATATATATATCCAATTTACACTTGTACACATTTGAAATAGGCAAATATAAAGCAGCCACAAATGTATTATAATTATTTATTAGCCCAGAACTCACTTAAAAGGTTTTTAGAGAGGAAAAGTGAATGCCGGCAGCAGCAGGTTGGAGCAGACAGACTGAAATGCCTGGGTAGAAGCACACTGCCAGAGGAAATTATGTAGTGGAAATAGGAGAGGTAGAGAGAGGGAGAGAAAGGAGAGGTATGCAAGACATCTCCACCAGCTGAGGGAAGAGGTAGGGCCTGTTGCTACAGCAGCTCTTAGTCAATGGCCTGGTTGGAAAAAGCTTCTCTCAGGCCCAAGTGTGCACTTCAGGGGCCCTAAACAGTGGCCAATGGTCACACTAAGGACAGATGACAAAAACAAGGCAGAGAGCAGGGAGGGACATGTTTCTTTATCCTCTGAGCAGTATTTACCCTAGGATTTTTTTCAGCAGTGGTGGCAACGGTAGCAATTAGGGGTGTAACGATCCATCTACTACATCGATGTATCGATTTATATTCCTATGATCCAACTACATCGATCTGTGCTCAGCGAGTTGGCCTTTTGGACAACATATATCTATCTAACATCGTTTTAAAATGTAATAAATCGATTGTATCGATACTAGGAAATAACCCATTGGATTTAAGCACGTCAGACTTTATATGGATGTTTTTTCTTAGCACTTTTAATGATAAAGGCTTTAAACATTACTCGATTCAGTCTGCCTATCCGTGACGTCATCGCGCCAGCAGCAGCGCAAAGGTGCCAAGACAACAAAACATAGCATGGCGGAAGACAGAGGAGAAGCCGACGAGCGAGAAATTATCAAGCCACCATTGCGGTCCTTACAAGAAACAGGAATCTAGGAAACTTCACCTGCACTGTCCAGTATCCAGGTATTTATTTCAGTCACACTGGTTGAATTTTTGGCTAAAAGGTTACTGAATCGATTTCAAGTCACTGAATCGTTTCGGATCGTATCGTTCTAAATGAACCAATATCGTCCTTGAATCGTATCGACAACCACGAATCGTGATACAAATCGAATCGTTGTTAAAACGAATCGTTACACCCCTAGTAACAATGACATGCTAGCTGTTCACAGACTTCCAGTCATTGAGCCAACGACTAGGCAGTAGAGGCTTTGAATATGTAAATGTCTAACTTGTGTACTAACTTTCCAGTTTTCTGTACTGCATGTAAGATATTGTGTGTGTATTTGTTTGTCGACGTC